TAATATGACCATGTTGCGAAAACAAGGTCAAACAACCTCTATACAACAAAAGGAGACTGCGACCACACAATCTTGGTCTTCATACCTTCGAACTATAAATTGGGTTTGATTTTCAAGACAAAATAAGCTTCTTTTAATTATTCTCTTTAACGGGAACTTCGCTTCTAAAGGCAACTGTGGGCATGATGACGCCAGCTTAAATAAATTATCCAATAGATGTCAAATTATATCACCCTTAAAAGTGGGGGACAAGATTATCATTATTGTCGCTCTAGTATATTACTGAAGCGATAGTGTATGCGTTGAGCCTAGCCTTCCTGCCCTTTTTGAGTCATACGTACGAGAGTTACCAATGTGACCAGGAAAGAAACTCGCATAGCCTCCCTTCTGAGAACTAATACCAACATCTATCTAGACTTGACTAGAAGCCAAGCAAGTAAAGCTTATTTACCATATGGATATACGTCATAATACGTCATAATATGGAGATTATGCAATAATGCCGAGTTGAAATCGCCTTTGCAGAGTCATAACTCTGGACCTATGTAGAAGAGTAGGAGTCTATGTTTGAACAAAAAATTCTGGTTCCAAAGATTAAAATCGTTGCAATTTCACTGCTGAGGAAGGAAGCGTGAGCAGTGCAAAGGGACAAGAAAGAGTCTATGAAAGGTTTCCATTTAAACTCTATTAGAGGACTGCAAATAACAGCTTTAGCAAATACATTTAGCAACTTAATTAAGAGCAAACTGTGATGGAAGAAAATAAAGGCTACACTAGGAAGTGGCTGAGGACTTAGCTCGAAGAAAGTTAGCGAAAGAATCAGCTAAAAGAAGTTGCTGAGACTTAAGGCACCAACATCGGGAGGGACATGTTAGCAAAGCTAGAAAGATGTCGGCAGATTCGATCCAACATAGATTGATATTAGCCCCACATGACGGCAAAACTCCTTCAGAAATCAGTTGGTTTGGCTTGCTTTGGCCAAGGAAATCTGTCCTTCTTATACATGGTTGCTTATACACGTGTGAAATTGGAATCGATTGCTACAGAATATGTAGAATTAGACGAGAGGATAAAAAAAGATGAGAAGGAGAATAGTGGTTTAATAGGTGATTTGTTGGATGAGAAGATTTTATTGGAAAATAAGTTGGATGGGCTAAGCTTGCAATAGTTGATGACAGGTTTACTGAAGGCAATGACGTCTGAGAGAGTCCTAGCCCTGAGGGTTTAAACTGAGTCAGCTGGCCAGGTGGATTGCGGCCTGGGATTTTCTGAATCTTACAGCTAAGCTGAGGGTTGATGGGAAGAGAAGGCGGGAAGGATAATGAATGGAAGTGAGTGGTTGGATTGCAGTAGCTGAATCTAAAAGATGGATTAATAATTCCACAATGGGAAAGACCATTAAGAGCAGACCGATAAGGTTCGTGACTGAGTGGATCAAGGTGGCGATGGTGCAGACAGTTGTTTGGTAGAAGGAACAGGGAAGGGTCGGTTTGTTTGGATGGAAAATACGAAAACCGAATTAGGGCGAAAGTAAAAACGCAAATAAAGATGATATATGCCCACTAAAGCTCAGTTAGCTAAAGTATCAGTTCCCATCCTCGCTGCCTCTTATGCATATCGCCTGACAAATTTCTCTATCCAGAAGTCAACTAATCATACCGGTTTATCAAAGACATGAGGTTAATTGGATTGGCCAGGGATTAAGAAAAAAAAGGAGATGCATCCCTTCAGTACACGCATGCAGCAATGCAAAGGACAGGCCACTTTGGTATGAATAGCAACAAATAATGCTTGGATGGATGAACGGAGCTCAAAGAGGGCAAGTAGCTTCAATAAATTGATGAAGTTAAAGGAGAAAAATATAAAAAGTAA